TACGAACTAGGGGTGGCAGTCGAGGCAGTTTTAGTTTCGGACGAAGAGGCGGTCGCAAGTGTGCCGGTGGGGGTGGCATATTGATCCGCGGACGTGCTGTTTGTCGGCGCGTTTTCCGTCCATTCCGTGTTTGCGGGCTCTGTGGTGTGAAGATGAAAAGAAGCCGATTTTTACTCTATGCAATACTTTTTCATCCTCTTTGATTTGGATTCCAAATGCAATTTTTTTGGAAATTAGTCGCTGCTGTGTCATTACTTGAAATAAGGCTGACATGATATAGAACATCGAAATAGTAATTTACAGCAGGGTTTCTTCTGAGCGTAGCCTTCGAAGAGCACTTTGCTGTGTAACCTTCTGCTTTTCAGGATACAGACGGAACATCTTTCAGCATAGCCGTTGTGTTAGGAAATGAAAAATAAACGGTAAGGTTTCCTTGTGGGGTCTACGAAAGGACCTTATGTATCATAACCAACTACTTACAAATTTTAAGTAGGTTTAGTTACCCACAACCTTCCAGGTTTCTGAACGCCGGCCGTTGACCCAGTACGCATTGGACTAAAGAGGGGCCCTCCGACGGCCACCGCACACAATGACCATTTAAGCTAGTATATTAAGCGAAATGGCTTTTCAAATTAACTACGGGAATAATCCCTTACATGCAAATGTTAAATATGGTGAATTGCAAAATCTTCAAATCTTCTTTACTCATTTGCCTTTATTCCCGTGAGGGTTAGCGGTACTACTAGAAAGTGTACCTCAGTGACCCTGCCCGAGGTTAGGGCACACTCTCACGACATACACGCATTCGCCGATGGTCCGATGGGGGGAGGTTAGCGATAATATTAATGCCTAATACAGTGTCCTCGCCCGAGGTTTGAGTACGCGCCCCAACTTACCCTCGTCACTTTTTTATAAGATTATTACAATATTATTTGTCCCCTGACATGCCCCGTCCGTCCTCTCCCCTAAAATCAGGTACCCGCGAGACTGAGGGGCGCACTTCGCACGCTCCCCATGCGGCCCCATGAGGTACTCCTACCAAAAAAACTGCCGTCCTACATTTTAAAAGACGAAGAATGTTCACTGGGAGCGGTCAACTGTGTGTCTAACCTTTCGGAGCATTGCCTTGTCAATCCATTTTACGGGACGTTCCCGAGCATACGTTAGTAATCATCTTGTCGGTAGTAGTAGTAGTAGTA